ACTTTATACTTCTCTCAAGACGAGTGGAAAGCTGCTAGTTCTCTATGCTGGTTCTCAAAAAAAATGAACCAGTGCTAAAGCATTAGCCCTGAAAACTTACCGATGTATCTCCAGTTGTTGTGCGTGAAAGAGTTCTGAGGGAATACAATCATATCTCCATGTCGCTCCCATTTCTTAGGTAGATCCCGCTGCATTTCGTCATCCCAGAGACCCTTTGATGCGGCCAGTTCTCGCACCTGAAGTATTGTAATTGTTCACAAGTAGTTCTTGCGCTTGCATTAGCCTTTTGAAAATGACCTTCACTGTTGGAAATCACGCGTGCGGTAGCGAAGCGGTTACAGAACCATGTTTACAGATGGCTTCAAGCGACGGGCAAGGATTTCTTGCCTGCTTTCCATTAGGAGAGTGTGAAGGAATATTTAGGCTCAATGCAAATACTTTCCGTAATTATAACTTGCCTGTTGCCTAGAAGAACTTAAACTGAGCCCAGTTAGAAACACTATTTTGAGAAATGTGTGTTGTTAAGGGGCGCTGCACACCTTGCACTGGTCAGGGGGTTAACTCAGGTATCGGCTATTGCCCAGGTCAGTCAATTCTTCCACTCAGCTGGGGTCGGTTATCTGGTAGCAGACCCGTCTAGGAAGACAAACTAAAGACTTGTGCATCGGCTGGCCCCCGCAAGTCATTGTATGGGGTCACATCAGCATTCAAATGCCACTACGAATTGGAAATGAAGTAGAATGCACGGCGTATCCCAAGGAGTGATTGATTGAAGCTAATCCTTGATCCTTTTTTGTCCTTTATTACGACAAAATATTTTTCCTCGCTGTTTCCCTCATGCTTTGCTGTTCACCCAATAGCGTTGTTAAGTAATCGTCGAGAATTCCGAGAACTTTCACTCGTTTTAAAACGAAACGAGCCCCGACAAACACGCCACAATATTAACAGCCTCCAGGACTTGCTCAACGAACGACGCCAAGACGAGTAAAAAAAGCGGCGGCCTTGGAAGATAGCAAGCGCTCGTTGTAAACGACGTTTTGCAGGATGTTCTTCGATCTTGTTCTGGTCAGCAGAATTGTAACAAGTTAGCAACTGACGAGAAGGTATCTGGAATCCAGCGCTCAATGTTGATCTGTTTCTTGGCATGCGCTACGCGTTCGATTTCCACTCAATACCGTGTTGGTAGTTGGATGTGTTGTAGCATTTACAACGCACTCAGACATTCTCAATTCGTCACCTTTTCCCCCAAAACAAGTTCTTCGTTAAGCGTCTGCCACAGAAAAATTGCTTCTTCGGCTGGTTTAAAGGCAAGTTTCAGGATAAATAGGTGTAGAAGAGCGTTCTCTAATGAAGCAAGAGGTGCTGATTATTTGAAAAAGAAAAAGAAAGCAAGAGAAACCATTGATTACCCCCCGACCTGTAAGGATCTCATCTATTTCAGCCGCATCCCACCCAGGGGGTGGCGATCCCATTGGCATAGAGAGCACGCATGACTAACTGCCACAACCTATCGTGACCGGACAACTCATCCACGCTCCGCTCCTGTTGCCTAAGCATCAGGTCAACACAAAATAACCCACCATTATTCAGATATTCAAGATTAAAGGTGATTTTTGAGACCCAATTCAACAGATCGATCAACTGCCGAAGTCCTGATTGGGTGATGTGGACGAGTTGTCCGGCCACAGCAGAATGTGGCAATTGCGGCCGTGTGCGCTCGAATGTCAATGTGGTCGCGCCATGTCACCGCCTCCCACTCTGGGATGGATAATGGCGTGTTGGACGTGTTCACGGACCCAGCTCCGAATGCTTCTTTTCTAGCAGCATCGCGTAGCCACCGACAGGGCAAAGGGTGAGGCTGCACAGGAAGGAGTAGGACTGCAGGGCGAGCAAGCTTCGTCGCGCAGCTTGCGAAGCCCGCAAAGCGGGGTGCGTTAATAAGGCTAGCCCACCTGTTACTACACTCGGGTATGAAACAGAGCGTGCGTAATCCCGGGGCGTGCCTTTAATCTTCCAATCGACAAAGGTAAGACGAGTGCGCTCTGTGAGTGTGCGCCAGATTCTAGGTGGAGAAGGGGGTCTCATTTTGATCTCGAGAGAAAGAATAAAGGTTGCAAGATCGGGATAGGGGGGGGCAGGCTTATGCCTAGGGTAGCGGAACTCCGAGGCGTTGAGGCCACCCTTTACCTATTCTGAAGTAGCACCCCCCACCCCCTCCGTTAGGGCTTAGCCCTGCTTATAACAAAAAGATAGCTTGATGCAAATTCAAATGCGTCGCCGCCTCAATTCACCATGTCGCACGAAACACAGAAAGGTGTAGAGTCCATGCTTGATTAATGGTGAGCGAAGAAATGACCAGAATGTGAATGATACAAGACGAGCACAGTGAGGTGTTGTGATGTAGTCAGCTCAGAGGTTGAGGTAGAATAGCAAAGCAACCTTTCGCTTGCAATATGAAAAGTTCGTACTCTATTGTTTCGGGTCCTACATGACCCTGAAAACGTATGGGAGCTGAGGGTTAGATAGAGCGTCGTGACAGTGTGGTGCGGGATAGGGAGCTCTTCTTATAACGGCAACTGTGGAGCCTATTGAAGGGACCCAGTCTCATTTGGGATCCTAGAGACAATCATAGCATGGGTACATGCATGTGATGAAAATCAGTAGCTGTACCATTCGACCAGCTTTAGATTTCAGACGCCCAGGTAAATGGCACTCGACTTGGAGGCTATATGCATCAGCTGGCCGAAAGGTGTACAGGGAAGGGCCAAAAAAGGGGCTCCTGCCCAGCGCACATCAGCAAACTTCTGATCACAAACGCCATTTACAGAAGCACAGCAGAATATCCTTAAAATGTTTTTGATAAGCAGAAGCTACCGCCTGCTCAGTGCTCACAAGGTTCAATGCTAAAGGCATTCGCCATCTATGTACCTTGAGTCCAAGGAGGCCTATCATAATTACTCAAGCCTATAGCTGCCACCTAATTTCATATCATTTCAATGAAGGCCAGCTTCCTAGAGATAGTAGCCCAGGATATTCAAGATCCCTGCCTACCCGCATGTAGGTCGTGAACAAAATGTGATTCTCACAGTTTCCAATGTCGAGGGAGAATTCACCTTTTTGCCCCTTCTCCACCCATTCTCTCCCACTTTCTTGCATACAGACCACACACATTCGACCGTCATTATAATTTCAAACGGAGGCCGTATGTGTGCACCTTCTTCCACTTTTTTTTGAAACGTGGACTTCTTCCCAAATCCTTCGAGCCATTTGCGCTCGGTTTTCTCTGGCAGACCTCATGCAATTCGTAAAAATTGTTACACTATGGAAACGAGTAGGCGAATGGCTGCAGTACATTTGTTACAGCGGTAATGAACAAAGCTGTTAACGAAAGCTTTTTCCAGCGAAAAAGGAGTGCAGCAGATTCCGAGAAAAGGGCTTCACACATGAACCTATTCACAACGAGTCCAGCCAAAGGTGAGAAGCACTGAAATGAAATGCTGAGGAAGGGGAAATATGCCTACTATAAAAGGAAGGTGGGCCTCTGGAGGACCGAGGATGAGCCCTCCTCTGGACGCTTCCTAGCCCTGC